ATGTGTCTCCCTGGGAGAACTAGGCAAGTTATGTGACCGTGGATCTCTCCTGTTACAAAACATACACTGCAGCCGCACAACCTTGCTGATTCTAAATGTCACACACAGACTGCAGGAGATGCTGACTCTCTCCAGGATAGCAGGCTGGTAAACATTGTACACTGTCTTGTCCATGGCTGATCTGTAACTACATCAGCAGGAGTTGAATTGTAGTGGAAAGAATGTTGACTCCTCTGAGCCTCTGAGGCAAAGTTAGTCAGAAACAACAGCAATCTTGTTAAAGTGATAAGGAACATCTCTAAAAGCTGGTATGAAATAGGAAAATACAGCCAAAGCAGTTCAGGATTATAAACATGTATTGTGTGCAACATTATGTCAGAAATGGTGGTTGGGTTAAAATGATGTAGTTGTTTTTACTACAAAACTGGAAGCTATTTGAGTGAGGTACAGTATCGCATCAATGAGCCACTCATAGTAAAGCTGGACTGAAACATAACCAATCAGCTAACGTAAATGTGACCGCAGTGCTCTGTTATCACAACACAGGTAATTCAGTTATACACAATGTATGGCATGAAAATCAACCATAGTTAATCACCATATCAGAATCAGCTTTATCAGAATCTGTTGGGGAATGTATTGAACAATACAGTCTAAAAAGGAAATCATGTTTTTAAGAAATCAAAACTTTATTTAATTGCTGTAACACTCACATTTAGTATCAAACAGCTAGAAACTTGCAGAGGACTTTTTGAGAGTGCAAACTTGAGGGAACTCGAAGAAACCGTATCACCATAAATTAGCAGCATGATTATTTTTTCTAGCCTTAATTAGCATTGCAAATGTCCAACAATAATACAAACTCCAGTTTATAATCTGCATATTCTACACGTTTTGTGAACTGTATTTGGAAGATATAGCAGCCTACACACCCTTTTAGCATTTGGAGTTCTCTTTTGACAAGCTCTTGGATACAAACTTGTTTTTGTTTACTTATAAGTGGATTTGAGCCACGCGTCATGCCACCGTACATGCTTTTAAGTCATGACTGTCGTCTTTTCTTTTCTTGTCTTTTTTAGAAATCTGTATCAGCAACTAAGTTACACCCAGTTTACTTCTCTGGAAACATAATGGCTCATTTTAAATGGTCAAGGCACATTTATTTTTTTATAGCACATTTAAAACAATTCAAAGTGAATATAAGACCACAACCTAAAAATTAAATCCAAAAGATAGTAAAATAAAACAAAGTACATATGTAGCTAAAGGAGTTTCAGTACAGTTAAATGTTGCAGAAATGAGTAGTACAAATTTGAATAAGAATTAGTGACAAGTGGAATATTTTGGTCGTGATAATTTAATTAAGCAACTTCTGAATAATATTTACAAGCAAAAGGCTATCTCATCAACATTTGGAGCTTTTATAGACAAGTAATGACATTTTAAAATCAACCCTTTATAATCCAGCAGGCCAGTGAAGTGCAGTAATGGGCTTTGCTATCTTTGTCCCAGTAATAACTTTAGCAGCAGTGTTCTGACTGAGCTACAATGTCTTCAATGCTATTTTGGAGAGTCCTGGAAACAAATACACTAGTGCAGTACCTGTAACATAATCATGACATCTGTAATACAGTAAATGCTCAGGAGTAGGTATCCTTTTCACCAGACTCCACAGAAGCCTAAAATGCCCTCTACAGGCCAGCTCTAGTCAGCCCACAAGGACTCAATCTTAGCCTAAAATTAACCAAGATAATAAACAGAAAAAAACAGTAAAACAAAAAATACGGAAATTATTCAGTCAAGACAAAGAAGTTAGTTGGCATGAAGAAAACAAAAACCTTTTTTTCCCCCGACTCTTTACGTGACATGGTTGGAAATATACCACATAACTTAACGTGTGCGGTAGAGATAAAGACACCTTTCAGGTCTCATGTAGGATTCCTACTTATTGATTTTCAGGTCTTAAGCCTCATCTGTTTCACTTCAATTAACTGTTGTGCATGTCTCATACTGCGCCTTTAAATTGTCCTTCTTTGGAATTTGAAGCAATTTGATCTAAATGTAATGCACCAAGATCACCACTAGAGGGTAGCAAATAATGCAATAAAGTGTCTTAATATGAATGCGCCAGTCAAGTGTTACACGTTGTCACTTCATGTGTGTCTCTCCTGAGCTGGAACAGTGCACACATAATGTTAACATACAGTACAGATGGCCTGAAAATCAAAACAAAGTGAATGATTTTTAGGTTTGACAGCTTGTTCTGTCAGGCCAACAGCTGCTTGTACAAAAACTTAAAACACCTGAAAAACATGATGTCACTGAATTATATAGTGGTGGTAAGAAACTGCAATCTTCTTCTTGTATTTGTATTACACTAACTGCACCGACGCCTATTTGATTGTGTTGTGCTATTACAGTAAGTTCTCCCGAGGAATATACTGAACAAATTCCTGCTGCTTTTGAGATTGAGTGCAATTTCTTCATATACTTCTTCCCATGCTGAAACACAAGTCATCTTCTGTGCACAGGCTGTCATTTTACAAATAGTACCAACTTTACCAGACATAGTGAACCGCTGTCCAGAAAATCTTTGCTTTGCATATCGCGAGATATCAGAAAATGTTGGACATCAGTTTTGCTTCGACCATTCATTTTTGTAACTGAATTAAATTACAGTATATCCCTGAGAAAGACCAGCTATTACTTTGGCCTGTGGCAGAGTCGAACAGTATGTGATGTTTCCACGATTCTCATTTTGTGTAATTTTATGATGCTTTTGTAGTCCTGAAAACACAACATCCTATTGTGGGCTGTATGAACAAGACGCAGTGGTAAATCACACAAGACAATAGTACATGTGCAGAATAGTACAGTGGACATAATGGTCATCAACAGACTGAAGGAAGTGTAAGATGGTGATAATAAACCTCTTCTCTCCAATTCTTCAGAAATAATTCCTCCATTCAGTCAGTACCAAAGCAGCAGCCTCCTCCTGCCATCCCATGGAAGGGAAGGAGGACCAGTGCCAGTCTTGTACCTAGTCTGCAATCCCTCAATGGGCCTTTGTGATTGCTGCCATCCTTCCCCCCCGGCCAACCCCAGGCAGCCCATTCAGGAGTGTCACATGGCAATCCCACTCTGTGCCCATCTCACAATGCAACCCTGTCATTCGCACCTCATTGACATGCGCTCATAGTGATGTGCATTGGGGAATGGTCGTGCTCCTCCACTACTTTCAAAGGAAATGAAGTGCCGGGCTAGGTGGCCAAAGTGTGGCTTCCTGGATACGGTATTCATATTTCTTAGGAGGAAGTGCTGAAACGTGTGTGTGTGTTGGGAATTGCCGGTGAGTTTCAGCAAATGTGTCACACCAAACTCACACACCTTTAACTGTCAGTTACCATGAGAAAGTGTTTGATTGATATTATAAATGATGAACATCAATAGTCTAGATAACACCACATATGTATGTTACAATGTAAAGAATGACTGAGTGAATGTTACTATGGAAAAAGTCATATTCAAATGTAACAATATGTTTTTATTGACAGATACAGTAAGGATGTAAAAGACAAGTAAAACTGAGCATAAATGAAGTATAGATATTCTAGGCCAGTTCCAGACATCTGTATCACCACAAACATCTAATTCAGTCTGATTATCAGGTTAGAGAAATTCAGGATTTTAATGAGATGTGTGGAGAAGATTTCCAATGAGCGACTACTCTAGATAACAAGGTTTCCTCCAAGACAACACTTGGACTATAATTCAGTACTTATAGATATAGAGAGTGACACGACGGTCCAGAGGAGTGCTATTCTCAGAAGTGGAGCTTGTTACATGAGCTGATAAATGATACTTTGTCTGTGTATGGATAAGTCTACATAAGCCAGGCAACTCATGATTCCACAGTCTCTCAAAGCTGACACAAGTTTTTATAGGTGCTCATTCTATTTTGGAGTCAATGGACAAACCTAATCGACCAACAAATGCATTTTATATATTTATTTTGTTGTTATAAATGTGTAAGGTATTTTTTTCACACCACAAAAAGGGCAAAATGTTGTTTGATAAAAGCCCCTTTGCTTTGTACTAGTACACCTCAGAGATTACAAACATGTAAGGTGATGTAAGGTGGTTAAGGAGCATTTTCTTTCACATGCTTTATAGATGATAAACCATTACTACTTTTGGTTGCTAATGTATTCTCAACATTCAAATATCATGTCTTTTACAGATTACACTAAGAAACAGCATATAAAAAAGTGAAAAGCTCCACCTCAACAAGCTACTATATTAAAATGCTTAATGAACCAATTATAGAACAACCTACCACTATGAAAGTGACCTCTCTGCATAACAAGTACTCTTGATAGTGTAGTATTTCAAATGCAGAACATTTACTTACAATGGGGTATTTTTACACTGTGGCACTTTAAGATCTGAGTATTTCTTCCACCACAGAAATAGAGACAAATAGTCATTAGATTATTGCCTAATCAAAATGAAACCACAATTACCAAACATGTATTTACTTTACTTTCATTAAAGTGCAGGGATGTGATATTCTACCAAATTATATTTATTTTTTCATATAAAAAATGTTTAATTTTTTGTTGTAAATTGCTTGCATCCTACTTTCATATTTTTTCATACGATATATTTTTTGCTTTTTAAAAAAATGTTCTTTTTTCTGGCTGATACTTTCATATTGTTATTCTATGCTGCCTAATTAGTACTTTTATATTATTTTTATATTTCTGTAGAATTTTGTTGTCGGCCACAAATATGAATAAATCTCTCTTAATTTTCTTTAATTTTGTACTGACTAATAAACTGGAGAATCCCTGTATCACCATTCATGAACCAGTATTGGTTCTAATTTAAACCATTCTTTTTTTGAGACTCACTTGCAAAATCAGCTACGTGACCATGTGCGCCACTCCCTCCCTCTCTCCCACGCTAAGCATCACTCCCCTCGGACACGCCGTGCTCAAAACCGCCAGCGACATTACCCGCATCGGTCTGTGCATGCTGAGCTGACTGGGAGGAGGTGGGATCTAGCCAAGGTTTACGTGCGAGCCGTGCAGATTGCCAACCACGACTTCCACTGCCAACGAAGGATTTTTTATCGAGAGGAAATCGTTACTACGAGGAAGCCCCCCCCCCCCCCCTCCCCTTGGTGGGACCCCTCCCCTCCCTGCCAACAACATACATTTATCCACCACCTTCTTTATTTATCGTCGTTTTTTTGTTTTTGTTTTTGCCTGTGCTTCCCACTCAGCGAGGTCCCCGTTGACCACAGCCTCTTCACCACCGTTAACATCACAGGCTGTGTGATGAGGTCGCCCTGCAGCTGGGCTTTGGTTACGCGAAGATAAGGCGGTGCATGTTGCCAGTTTCAGTTTGGGTCAACTTTGTCGCTTTTTTAAAGCCCTTCTTGCACCCCGAGTGTGTGAAGAAATACCCAGCAGAAGAACACAGCTACTATTGGGACTGAGGGAACTGCCGGTGAGTGGATGGTCCCCTTTTTACCTTATCCGTAGCTGCTAACGGTACTGTTAGCTATGTTGGATGCGTCCTGGCATTACGCACTGATTCTGTCACATTTATAGCTCAAGACCAGTCAAACATGTAGTCTGTTTACGAGTTTAGCCTGTGAGCCATTATACAACATCATTCACGCGTTGTAAAGGGATGTGCACATGCTTGTGAATTGACTTAACGTTATTTAATAGCATTATTCTTCTGTTAATTTGGACCCTTGATTGCTCTGGGATAAGTAACGCTATGTCATTTGTAGCCACGGTTAGCCTTTAACGCTGCTAGCTGACGAGCCTACGCCCAGCTGTCTCCTGTCCTGTAATACACAACCACAGCAGCTGACCTAAAACATGAAGATGCATTGATTGTAACGGTGGGAAATGTCAGGTGGGATTATTAATAGGCTCTCATAGCGCCCAATGACAGGATACAAGTCAACTCAGCTCAATGATGCAATATCACCGGGACAATCGCTGATTTTTCGTTCTTTATCATCATGTCAGTGCACAGAAAAAGAGCAGCCACCGTGGTTTAAACCTAGCTAAATAAACATAAACTCACTTATAGCCAAACAGTGATGACCTCAGTGAAAACGCATGGCAGAGAAACAGTGGGGCTTTTTCTGTTTCCGTCAACACTGACTGCATTGTGTGGGCTGTAACACGCAGCACGCTTCTCCTTTTAGTGGGTGTAGTTGACAGCACTGCTATGTATGACACTGTTTAGGTTCATGTGTATGCCATCGTGCACTCGTTTGTGAAGACGGAGGTTTATGGAGTAGAAGATGAGTGCTTATGCTCTCCAATTTGATAGCATGAGATGCAAGCAGGGTTGTTTAAATCTGAACTATGCATAGCTGATACTGGCAGAAATCATGTTCATTTTGTTTGCATGACTGCTTACTGTGGAAGCAGCTGTCAAATAGGATGTCCAGAGATAATTGTTTCAATGTCCTGAGAATCAGTCATGTTAATAGTAACTGTAGACCCAATTTACTAAATCACAATATTGAACAACATTCGTTTAGCCTTCCTCCACCATTTAAGTGTCATATGCTCTGAGGCAAATGCATTCTGTATGGTTTTGTTGAAAAGAGATGTTGACTGGTTAGGTGGCTAGCTAGAGCCTTGACCTTAAGTAGGCTATGTAGTGGACAATGCACTGCACCAAATGTTCAAATGTGTTACATTGGTGTGTCCAAAATGGAGTAGAAATGGATTTGCAGTCCTTCTGAATTTCAAGCAAAGTTTGAAAGCTATATTTTTTGAAAATGCTCCTTCAAATACAAATAGTATTGTAATTAAACAAGTCTGTACATGTTGGAGGCCATCATGCATTTATAATATAGATAAAAACAGGAAACATGCAAAAGCTAAAATGTTAAAGACAGACACATTTTGACAGAAACAGATCTGAGCACTGCAGATCATATTTGGTGAGTCATTTTATCTAGATATTGTTTTACAGTTGTTGCATATTAGTGCACGTGAGCGTGCCCCACTCGCTAGCCCACGGCAGTAGCCCTGTTCGCTCTGTCAGCACATTCACTGTTGGCACCAATAACTCTGAGCCGACCGGTTCGACGCCAACATGTTGAGGCAATAAAAATGGTCCCAATTTCTTTTCTTGCACCTTTTCCTGTCAGAATGAATTGAGCCCTGCCCTTCATTTGCATACAAACCTTTTTCCAAGGGTTCATGAAGGTGTAACACTAGGTTTCTGTAACAGCAAGGTGCTGGCCTTGCTCTGACTTCACTGTTGTAATCAGTTGTTGGGGTATTTAGATGACTTCTGTAAAAGGTCTTTAGACAATCTCAGAAAAAAAAAAATGGAGGTCAGCTGTGTGTGTGTTGACACACATTACCAAATATAAAAATACACCCCTGTGATTACTAATACTAAGATGACTTTGACAATGGACACCTTGTAAACACCCCAATACAATGCCTGCTAGTCAATGGCAGTAGAGGGAACGTCATTTCATACCGTCAATGTGTTAATACCAGTAACCAGTTAAGGTGTTTTCCAGTTAAGAGGAAATGAGCATTACTTACAATGTGTAAGGAACTTAATTTAACTCAGATTGGTAACAAAGGTTAAATAATCAAATATGACATAACTGATTTTAGGCAGACTGGTGACTCTTTAAACATGTAGAGCTATTCCAACACATTTGAAACACATTGCTGCAGCATTTGTAACGGGTGTGGTAAGGACCCAGGAGCAGTAAGACAGACGCACTGGATAATTTGAATCAAAGCTTTATTTTCCTCTGGACACACACACACACACACTAGAATAATCACAGGGAAACAGAGGCAGGATCTCGTGGTCGGGGACAGAAGGCTAAGTGAATTACCGGGGCAGAGGCCTGATGAACCTCCTATAGAAGTTGGCAAACCCCAGGAAACATTGAAGCTGCTTGCAGGAGTTTGGGACAGGCCAGGTAGTGACGGCAGCAACCTTAGCGAGGTCCATCTGGATGCTGCCCTGGGAAACAATATATCCCAGGAATGAAACCGTGAAACTCGCACTTCTCCGCCTTCACAAACGGGGAGTTCTCCAGTAGGCGTTGAAACACGGACTGGACATGATGCGCATGTTCCTCTTGGTTCTTGGAGAAGATCAAGATGTCATCGAGGTAGACGAATACGTGGCGGTCCAACATGTCCCGGAGCATGTTGTTGACCAGGGCCTGGAAGATGGCAGGGGCGTTGGCCGAAGGGCATCACAAGGTACTCGTAATGTCCTTTAGGTGTGTTGAATGCCGTCTTGCGCTCATTCCCCTCTCTGATCCGGACCAGGTGATGGGCATTGCAGAGGTCGAGCTTGGAGAAGATGGTGGCTCCTTGAAGTAACTCGAAGGCCGTCGCGATGAGTGGCAAGGGGTACCGGTTCTTAACCGTGATCTCATTTAAGCCCCGGTAGTCGATGCAGGGTCTGAGAGTCTTGTCCTTTTTCTCCACGAAGAAAAAATCCATCCCCTGCGGGAGAGGACGTGGGGCGTATGAGACCGGAAGCCAGGGAGTCGTTAATATAACGGTCCATCGCCTCTCTCTCTCTGGAGCAGACAGGGAATAAAGGCACCCCTTAGGTGGGAACGTACCAGGATGGAGGTCGATGGCACAATCATAAGGACGGTGGGGAGGCAGAGACATGGCCTTGGATTTGTTGAAAACCCTCCTTAAAGTCCAAGTATTCAGCGGGAACCCCCGTAAGTTCAGGCGTGGAATTGGTGAGCGAGGCACCTCGTGGTACGGCGGCTTGCTTCAGGCAGACTAGATGACAGGACTGGCTCCAACCCCGAAAAGCCCCCGTAGTCCAGTCGACGTGAGGATTGTGTCGACGCAGCCAGGGGTATCTCAGAATGAGGGGGATGTGAGGGGTTTGCAGGATGTGGAAGCTGATGGTCTCGTGGTGGTTGCCGGACAGCAGCATGTGGACCGGAACGGTTTGGTGCATCACCGTGCCCAGAAGATGACCGTCCAGGGCGCTGGCTGGAACAGACTGGGGAAGAGGTATTCGGTCGATCCTCAACTGTGTAACGAGTTCCTCGTCCATAATAGACACGTCTGCTCCAGAATCCAGGAAGGTGGAAATAGTATGGGAGCCCCCAGTTAGTAGTAGCTGGCGTGGAAAAGTGGTCGTTGACAGACGGAGGGTCGGGAAACTGCTTGGCTCACGAGTACTTCCTTATTTACTGGTGAGCCCGGGCTTTTAACGGGCAATTGTGAGCAAAATGACCCGCCTGGCCACAGTACATGCAGAGATTGCCCCGTCGGCGCCGCTCTCGTTCCTCCGTAGATAGTCCAGTACGTCCCACATGCATGGGTTCGTTCTCTTGAGGAAGCAGCTGAGTCGACGTGTACTCCGGAGCTGTAGCACGAGGAAAGCGAGAAGGTTGCCCCTGGCTTGACTGTTCCCGGCGCCTTGCCAGCCGCCTGACCTGGATGCGGTGAGCCAATCTGGTGGTTATCTCGATAAGTCCGTCCAGAGATGTGGGTAGCTCGAATGAGATTAGCTCGTCCTTGACGTAATCTGCTAGACCGAGCAAATACGTTCATGTTCCATGAACTTAATCGTGCCTTGGTCCGGAAATCAATGGCATAGTCCGTGACAGATCGGTGGCCCTGCTGAAGCCTCATTAGCCCTCCGGTGACGTCCGGTCTCATGGACACCACTCTGAAAACCTTGCGTAGTTCGTCGGAGAAGGACTGGAAGGAAGCACAGGTAGGAGTAAGACGATCCCATTCCGCCGTTCCTCACAGGCGAGCTCTCCCCGTCAGGTGGTTGATGGTAAACACAACCCTGGCTTCTTCTAACATGAAGGTGCGGGGCTGCAATGCAAACAGGATGAAACAGTTCATCAGGAATGCGTTGCAACCCTCAGGATCCCCAGCATAACGTTCTGGCTCCCCCAACCGGGGCTCCGAGACCGCGCTGGATCAATTACAGAGTGGACCGAAGCAGGTGACGGCGACCACGCCGCGTTGGTCTGAGCTGTGGCTGCCGTGAGTTGCTGTACCTGGTCAATCAATGTGGTGAGAATCTGGTTCTGATTCGCCAGGGTGTGGCGAACCTCGGCGGTGTTGGTGACCACCAGGGTCTCGTGTCGCCTCTTCGATCGCCACAAACCGGGCCCGTGATGTGATGTCGTCTGCTGGATCCATGTTATGGCCCAATCGTACTGTAACGGGTGTGGTAAGGACCCAGGAGCAGTACGACAGACAAACTGGATAGTTTAAATCAAAGCTTTATTTTCCTCTGGACACACAACAGGTAGAATAATCACAGGGAATCAGCAGCAGGATCTCGAATTACCAGGGCAGAGGCAAGGCAGGGGTAGTCCAAAACAGGCAGGGTCGATAATGGGGAATCAGCCCAAGGGTATTCACTGGAAGGTCTTGCATGAAAGCGGAGAACGATCTGGCAGTGAGTGTGTGTGTGTGTGACTGGGGTCTAAATAG